GTCCCATTTTGTTTCTGCCTGTGAGCAGGCAGCAGCAGCAGTGAGATGTGGTCTGATTTGCCGAAGGGAGGGCGAGGTAGAGCCTTATATCCATGTCGAAAAGGGGAATAAACATGGTCCAGTATGTTTCGCCCTCACGTCGGGCAGCTGATGTGTTGGTAGTACTTCGGAAGGACCTTCTTCATGTTAGCGGTGTTAAAATCCCCGGCCACAACAAACATGTTACCCCTTGCATTTATTGTTAGCAGAAGTGGGTTCAGTATGTTTGTTTTGTCCACAGAGGTGTTTAACTTGTTAACAAAGAGCTGTACAAACACAGCTGCTGCTTTTCCTCTGGTAAAGTGTATTACTCATAGGGCATTGCTGTAACATAAATTGGTCCAGTGATCTCAGTCATTTGAGTCTTTATATGGAAACAAACACAAAAACTCCATCTAGATAGATTCAAAACATTGACACTGAACTTATTTTCTAAATTGGAAAAGTTTGAGAAGCATTTGTCTTTGAGTTAAAGAGCAACAGTGGTTATGGTTTAATAAGTCATACCTGTGAAGTTGTACTAAGGCTTGATAATGCTTTAAACTAAATGTTAACCTTAACATGCTCGGATTAGTAATGCTTTCATACTGATGTTTCCATGTATGATGTTTACCATGTCTTATTTTAACATGTTAGCATGCCAACATACTGCAGCTGACACGGAGTAGGCTATAGCTGAGGTTAATGTTGCGTTACTTGTCAGCTGTTCTTTTATTTAGTATCAGTACTGTGTCAAATGTTGTTATAAATCATACTTGGTCAATCTCATCTGTTTGTTAAATCAGGTCTTGATTGACTACATTTCTGTAGTAAACATTTTAGCAACTGTTTTAGCATAATTTGAGTGATTGGAAAACTATTTTTCAGAATACAATACAGTCTACTTCCATTTCAATCTACTCTAGCCAAAATATCACAATTTTCTTTATCGAAAAATATGTCAGTGTTGTCGCAATGCAAATCCAGCTAGCGCAAACCCCACCGCTGAACGGCAGCAACAGACTTTTTTTTCTTTTTTTGTATCTAGAGTGGAGTCCGGACGGTCCAGAATCAGCTGGTCCTCAGCGAGCTGTGATACCTGGTGCTGGTGTTTAGGCTGACTGACATTTGAATAGGTTGGAAAAATGATAGAGCTAACGGCATGCAACACAGGATAACGAAAGGAGCATAGAGAGAGATGTGACAAACGTGTTTAACCACATTTTGTCCTTCATGTCCTTTTTCATCAACAATGTTTAATTTTGATAAAGTCACAGTGAGTGTTGAACTCTGTGCCTTCTTCTCATCGTCTTATCGTAGGACATGGACCAAATATTGAATCATTGAGTAACAAAAACAGCACTAGACTGAAGTAAATGTCAGGTTATAAACCAAAAACATTGGACAAATTGAAACCTGATAATGTAACCAGATAAAAAGTCTCTAAAATGATGAACCCAGAGTGAGGTATGAATGTCTGTCTATCATATAGCTGCTCTATTAATATAGTTGGAGGCAGGTGATTTAGAGCAATGTGTGTGAGTCTGGCTGGTTGCAGGCTACATTACCTGTCTCCTTGGAAGAAGTAGGTGTAGCCGGATGGCTCCCACCAGATGGCTGTGTCTATTCGGTCATAGGGAATACCTAGGCCATAATCGACCAGCTCCATTGGATAGCCCTGTTCCAGGTTAGCCTCCCTGAAGAGCCAGAATCTGGTTCCTGAGGAGAGGAGAGGAGAGGAGGAGTGTTTAATGATCCTATATGGCCCATACATCTGTACATTCCCTATCCACCCCCACTCACAACCCTTATGGACTCTGGAAAATGTGAGCACACACACAATCATACTGTATATGTCATGTTCACTCGGTTACACACACATCCAAGAACAGATGTAGCCCTACAAATGCTGCTTATGCACGCACATTGTATCTTCTGGCACAGAATGTGTTAAATAATTGAAAATAAATGAGGAATAAAAAGAGAACAATCAGAGAAACCAAACCAGAGCTTGTAAATTCTATGAATGTTATAATGATTTGCTGGCAAGATATCAGAAAACACAAGTGTATCATTGACTGCTGGTTTAGCTCGTAACGACCCATTAGCAGCGGCGTGTCTCATGTCAGGCTGAAGCAGGTTTCTCGCCTAAGGGAGGGTTTTATTGTTTTTACTGTGTCAGACAGAGGGACTCCGTTCCTCCTGGCACTGTTACATCTCTCCTCTTGGCTTCAATCCACCTTTCCCTCTATCTCCCCCCCTCATACCCACCCATCTATCCACCCACCTCCGGCCCCTTGCTCCCTTTTTAAAACGAAAGCTCTACACTCAGCATCTAGAGAGAACGAGAGGTTGACGCAATGCTTCCAGTGTCCCTGCGGTGCACACGACTTAGAGTAAAATCCCATGACTTATTCCAAGACTTTCCAGGGATTCAGTGACCTATAGATTTGACTCCTGCTGTGTAACTGTTCTAAAGGGACTCACTTAAATGAATGGATATTTTCTGTCTGGATTACACCTTTTGGAACATGAGTCCATGAAGTGGTCGTTGTTTAATATATTCCCTGTAGGTCTTCCTAAAGTCCAAAGTCCAAAATTGCTTTCTTGGTATTTGAGAAATTGATATCCAATTTCCAAACATTAACAGAAGGATACTTCATTTACAATTAGAACAACAAGTTATTGTTGGCATCACTATATCAGTAAGACTGCAAATATGAACTGTGATTTTGCAACTTAACAAATAGGTTGTCATTAATGAACTGCCTTTATTTACAAAGAGTATTCATTTGTACTATGGATTACTGAAGACATTATTATGATCTACTTAGACCTGCTAGAGCTAGCTTGCCTTGTGAGCTGACACTCAGAATGTCAGAGAAAACAAGTAAGCATTTTTTAAAGAGGCCATATTATGCTTTTTCGGGTTTTCTCTTTTCTATTCTGTATTATATTGATTGTTGTGCCTGTTAATGGTCTGTAAAAGGCTAAAATCACAACGTTTGCTCCACAGAGGGTGAAAAGAGGTGCTGCAGCACAGGCAGTATGAGAAGGTTTTGAGCATAAAAGAATGTAAACGTGTCACAGTAGAGGCACAAAATACAAATATGAACCTGAAAATGAGCATACTAGGGCCCCTTTAACTAGAGACTAAGGATATATACATATAGTGCATATATACATAATGTATGTTTGTTCATATAATGAGAACCATCCATCTGAATCCCCTTGTTGTTCTCTCTCTCTCCTCTGCTCAGGTCTTCCTGATCTGCACTCATCACTGATATAAAGGGAATGCTTGAGAGAAGGGTCTCTCTTTGTCTCTCTGCTGTCAGACTCTGCAGCACTCATTCAGCCTTAGTAAAGGATTTTGCTCTTTAATATGTGTTAGTGTATTTTTGTTGTTTCCTTAAGTATGGAGAATCAGGCAGTCCAGTTTTCGCAGCATTGTTTCTTAGATTAGTTTTTGCATTTGCCTTTAAGATAAACCCTTTTTGATCCCGGGAGGGGATTTCAGGTATCTTATCTTAGCAGCATCAGCCACAAGGTTTAGTTTAGTCTTTTTCCACCACTTCCCAAGATTAAGAATAATATATTTAACCATTCTCCAAGATTAAGAGTACTTTGGACCACTTTTAGCTAAGCAAAGGTCACAAGTCCAACAAAAGAACAAGTATTGATAAAGGAGTCTTCAGCCTGTCTTCAGGCTCGATGGTCCTTCTGGACTGCTATAATCCATTTAAAGGTCTTAGCTTCAGTTGTGTTTGTCTCTCCTTCTCCTGTGCTCTCAGTTCTTGCTTCCTTCCTTTTTTTTTTTCCTTCCTCTGCACTTCTCTTGTTCTTCCTTCAGCTAATGGCTCGCAGCCAAATGTCACACAGAGAGCCTTGCCGATGACATCATCCTCCTCATCATCATCAGCTGCCCCAAAGCCAGCAGCTGAGCAGAGTCAAGCAGTATCTATCAAACACTGCTTCTTTTCTTTTTCCTCCAACAAACTTTATCCACCGCTGTAAAACACACGCTACTCAGTGACTCACAGTGCAATAATGATCTGTTCCAAAAGAGATGTATGCTCTGCATGTAGAATGCATTATGTACTTTATTCGAGGAGGTGGGGGCATGTTTATTATTTTCATAATCTGAAGATGATGAAAAAAGTTCTGCGATTTGCTTTATAGTTGAACTATGACAGACCTGATGGTTTAGAATGACTATGGAGGATGAATAATGTTTAGAGTTTGTAAAGAAGAAACCATATGGGCATTATTTCAATGCAGGAGTTAATACTTAAGTCAAAGGAAATACTTATATTTCATATGCTCTTGATACATATTTGACCTTTAGGAGCTGACATGCTGCTGCAAGTCAGGCTAACGTATGATAAAAGCTGGATTGTGTGTTTTACCAAAGCTTCCAGTTAATCCAACTATGATTTTGTATTAGAATGGCAGAGTACACAGTGCTGCTTCATTGGAAACTGAATCCAAACACTGGATTTGTTTGTCATTGTTGCTACTTAAGCATAGCAGACTGAATGTTAGTCTCAAGCTTGGAACCTCATTTCAGAATTGGGTATACTCTCAAAGTCTGTTGTTGCTAATCTGGACGTCTTGTCATGCTCCAAAAGTGACGGTTAATAATACCAAAAGAAGATTATTTAGAACTGGCCCAGGCCTGTTTTTACAGCAGCAATAGCCAGAGACATGTATGTTTATTCCCTGAAGGACAGTTAGTAAAGGAGGATAAGAGAAGTATAGTCCAGCTTCCAATTCTGACCACTTTTTGTAAAAACGTAAAAGCTTTGATGCAAATCAAAAATGTATTTAAAAAAACGTTTGTTGTATATCAAAGGGTGTGTACCATGATGTGGCTGCTCTTGGCTCTAGGAAGCCAGTTTTGATTAAATCATATCAACTTGAAACGTACCGGATAAGTGATACAAAATTCTGTATATAGCTACTAAAAATGTTTTATGTCCTTTCTCAAAAATAGTAGGGTACTTATTAGGCTACACCTCAGTCACCAGTGCTCTCATTCCCTTGTGTCACGTCAACTAGATGACAGATATTCCTCATTTTACCTGCAGTCAGAGCATCACTATTTTAAGAATAGAACAGAAAGTCTGAGAAACAAAGTGATGATGACTCATCGGTATTACTAAAGCTATAGCTGGAGTTACCTTAACTTTGGTCTCATTTAAGTATTTTGGCTAGAATGTAACATCTGTTGCGAGAAGCTACCTTACAACAGCATAAGAAGCCAAGCAAAATGATACAAGGCCAGTCATTAAAACACAAAGCGACCATAGCTAAAGGTCAATCATTATTTGAGAAGAATCCACATCAAATATTTAGTAGAGACTTAAGTACAAAGCACAAAAATCAGCCCATAATTGAAAGTGATTGGATTTGGGCGTTGCGAAAATAAATATCTGAAATGGGTATGGTTATGGAGCCTTTAAAATTACGTAAGCTGGGCCCAGGAAAACAGCCTCTTGGATGTATGTTGAATCACATACTGGGCCAGCTAGTGAGATATGTTCTTCAGTGAACGACTCCTTCCCCCTAGAAGCACCACAGAGTGCCACACAACTTCATTCCTGCCTGTGGGCATCACACTGTCTAACTGAGCGTCAGGCACTCAATATGCTGGCACTTAACTTACCTACGTTTGTATTATATTTTATAATATTTCCCCAGGGGATAATTAAATCCCTGATTCTGAAAATGTGAGTGTGTATTTGTTGCTTACCTTTAAAGAAGACGAACCTGCCGTCGTGTCTCTCGTAGGCAGAGTCTATGTCTCCAGGCAACCCCCTCCAGAAGTGACCGATGGGCATGGGGTAGTTATCCAGGACCCTGTTCCTGCGCACGCGCCAGAACCACCGACCCTGAGGGGAGACACACGTGTGTTTGAGAGTGCATCACTTCTTATTGTATGCTTAAAATACTCTGTTGTTGCTTCTTTTTTCTGATTCCTGTTACTCAAAGCGCAAACCAATGCCCAAATAAGTTCAAAACATAGGGCTTCATATCTTAAACTAAATATTTCCTTTAGCCTTTTCAAAACATGCATATGCACAGGAATATGAAGTGTTTTGCTGCTGTAAGAAGGGTATTCCCTTTTCATAAGTCAACTGGTTTGAACTGTTTCACCAAGCAGTCTGCAGCAGAACTGAACCAGAGCGTGCACTAAACTAACAACAGTGGAACCCTGGCAGGCTAATAATAGTCAGTTTCCGCTCCGGTGGCTCTTCAGGTCTTCATGTTGCACTCTCTGTTGATCACAGCCTGATACAGTCACTTTTATAGAGTGATTTCAGTATCAAGGCAGCAATACAAACCAGTAAAATAGCACATTTTATCGATTTTTTTCGATTTGTGTGGTCTGACAGCCGCTTTGTGTTGACCAGATTAAGACGGAGTTGACCATATTAGTCCTCAGCAGAACAGATCTCAGAGTGGGAGTTTGGATATTGAGCTCTGCAGATCCAGCCCTCTGCTGTGAACAAAGTGAATAAAAATAAATGACAGCTCCTTTCTTATTTGAATGAACTGTGGAGAAAGTGGCACTGATGTGCTACAGATTACTCCCACTCACAGTGCATTAAGTAAGTCATTTTTCCTGTGCATTGTTATATCAGAGAAGAACAATTTCTACTTTGCATAATAGTGGAGGCACTACTTCCAAATTCACAGGAGGAGAACCAACATAAATTAGTCACAACTCAAGTGCTCAATATCAGTCAACAACATTTTGGGAAAATATACATCTTACGTGCATACTTCACATTTCTGTCTCTGTCTTTTCCTACAAACTTTTGGAATATAGGTCCATCTAGACTTCAAAGAAGACAAAAAAGGAGACACAAGGTTGCAGCATTTCCAGTCTTTTCAACGGGGGGATGCATATTATTTCGCTATGGTATTGGTAATAAGGGATTGCCGCCCACTTAAATGAGTACATTTCGCTCTGCCGCCATAAACCAGAGAATTGTAAGAAAGGTGTTCTAATTCAGATGAATCCAGTCCAGCCGCTACTTGTTGGGACGTTTCCTTAAAAGAAAAAGGAAAGCTGCTTGTGGCACTACAGGAGAAATCAGGGGGTCGCCAACGTAATTAGGATTCTTCTTCTTGGGACCACGAATGTCTGTACAAGATGTTATGGCAATCCATGTGGCAACAATCTAGATTTTTGGCTGGATATTTTAGTCTCATAAAAAGGAGGGGGTTCACTATCTATAGAGCCACACTGCTTGAAAATAAAAAACGAAATATATCCAATAAAATTATATAACAAAAATAATTAGCAATGATGGATTCCCCTATTTAATTTCATTTAATAAAATATAATAGTTTGCCCAGGACATGGTAATTATAGTGATTGCATCTTGTCTGGATCTACTCGGATCAAGACAAAGTTTAAGAACCACTGGTGGGCATGGACAAAGTTAATTTGGGACAGTGATTAAGGCTATCCAGACGAGCTTCATGAAACCCAAGCACAGAGACATGACTGTCTGAGATGAAACCCAAGAGCACAGACACAACTGTTTGATCGTGTGCAGCACTTGTCCAGGCAGCTGGACGTCCAGACTCACTGGTCAGTGTCAGAAACACTTGGAGTCAAAGATAGCAGATTCACAGACATGGCTCTGCTATATTATACTTTGCCAAGATAACGTGTGCATTTGTTTATCCAATCAAATGAGAGCATTTTTCAAAGCGAAGCGATCTGTTCTACATGTATTAGCGAAGAGCATATATAGTGCCAGTGAGAATGACAATGTAAGAGATGATTATGATGAGACATGATTCAATTGTGTGTATAATAGGCTAAAGCTAAAGTTAGCTAGCAAACTCAAGCTGCATTTACAAGATGCGCGGTAAAACAGCTCTGCAGTGACGTTGCCGTTGTGTTTCTATGGAAACAGTGTTGCAGACCGACTAGCCTTAGCCTCGCGCTGCACTCAAAGGTCAAATTATTTCATCTTTGACCTTGTTTACCGCTAACCTTTCAAACTGCAACCAATCAGATGACAGCTGTATGAAACAGCAGAAGCTAGCAAGGGAGGTAAGCATAAAGACAAATCTTAGCTGGCTGTTTTCACTGCAAGGCTATGCCAAAATCGCATTGAGCAAAGAGCAAATTGCATATCATGTGAATACAGCATGAGAGTAAGACTTGGTTCTCTGAGTTCATGAACAATCACCATTGTGCAAATGCGCTCCTACGCTAAGAGTGACTTTTTACGAACGCATGCAATAATGCCCAGAGCTCATCTGTATCTGTTCTTCATTTTCAGATCTTAGTAGTTTTATATTTTGCCGATGACATGTCTAACTTTTGGACGTGGAACATAATTCAAGATGTGGTTGATAGTTTGATACTGTTGGATATATTCAGCAATTTAAATCCCTACTGTGGCCCCAGCATTTCAGATATGAAAGTAAAGCAGAAGCTCCATTACAGTGAACCCTGGGTGTTCTCCGTCCCGCTCTCTCTAATATCTGCCAACCTCTTCAACGCTGCCAGCATGGGACACCCCCCTCTGACCTCCCCCACTGAAACTCATTATTATTTATCTTTGCAGAGCTGCACTATGTATAAAGCAGTGGTTTTCAAACTTTTTCTGTCAGGCCCCCCCTTTGGAGAAAAAAAGGCTCGATAATCAGCTCACGGCATATAGGTGTAAGCAGGGGTAAAGTGCTATTTTTATAGGTGGAGTGTGGACCTTACATAGGGAGGTCCGGGGGCAAGCTCCCCCGGGAAGATTTTTAAATATTGAAGTTAAAAGCATCAATCTGGTGCACTTTGAGAGCAAAATTAAGAGATCTATGGATACCTCTCTCAACACCCATTTGAAACAGAACTGTAAACAGATTTACTATTTCTTTATGGATATTTTACAAATCACTCCCTTGTAAACTTTATTCTTTTTTTTAATATATATATAGTATTTCATACCTGTTTTTAATTGATTCTCTTATTTTTGTATAACTATAATGATCATATAAACGTGTGCCTCGGAAATAATTGTTTACATTAATGGTGAGCAAAGTGTTTGAGACCCACTGAGATAACACTGAGAGAGTCCTTTAGCTCACTGAGTCTCTCAGTCTGACAGGAGAGGACTCTCCTCCACCTTGTTGTTGAAAAAACTCCTTATATCCGTTAGCGTAGCTCGCTAGGTACCGGTGCGCTCTCTCTCTCTCGCTCGCACACGCACACAAAATGTCTCGTTCCACACACACAAAGAGCCGAGCTTTAATGAAACACAGAGACCCAGACGTAATAGTACTGTATCATATTATTTTTATTTTTTTATAATCTTTCAAAATATGATTTTTATTTATTTATTTTTTTTAAATAGCCATTTTTCCTCCTGGTCTCTCGCGCCCCCCACTGTGAGAACCACTGGTATAAAGCATCACTGAACACATTATGAAGAGGAGAAAACACACACGAGGTTGCTGAAATGTAACTTTGAAAATGAGCAAATAAATGTGTTGCATCATCAACTCTGACCAAGAACCACTACCCCCAGGATAAAGGAAAATCATTTGCAGATGTATAATAACACATTTACCCAGGGCGGAGTTGCATAATATAGAAATATCTTAAGTATTTAATAGATCATACAACCCAGCTGACAGCAACAGCAGTGCACTGACCGGTACTTGTAGAACATCAGGTAAAACCCAGCTAATGGCCAACTGCTGCTTCAGCGCTTATTGAATGTTTAGTGTGGGTCCAGAGGCTCTTTAAGACAAACACCTGACCGCACCCCACCCTTTAACAGTGTTCCGCCTCATAAAAAACACTGGCCTGTTGGTTTACAATCCACAAGGACCGGATTGAAAACAGACGCCTTGTTGGCAGTGCACACGCCATTTGTCTCAAAGTGATTCCACAGAAAAGAATAACTAATTTATTGACACAGTTAAGTTGTCAGTACAGCTCCTCTGCTTGAAGCCGATTGAATTTCCAAGCAAGGACATGTAATAAAGCTCTGCGAAGGTTCGCATATCTCTCCTTATGTTTTATGCTCAAACTTAGATCAAGTTAGCAGGCTATGGCAGAGCCTGAAGATACAATTCCAATTTACCTTGAAAACAAACATCTCCCCTCGGAGCATGGCCACAGAGTCAAAGTTCCCTTCACAGATATTGGGCCCGTAGTGATCCGGTCTCTCAGTGGTCCTGGGGTGGTCAGGATGACGGGGGGGAGTTTGTGGGGGGCGGGGCTCCGGGCGACGAGGTGTCACGGTGGGCAGGGCCACGGTGGGGCTGCTGTTCTGCTGACCTGCACGGACAAACAGATGGGGGTAAATATATTGGATCAAATACAACAATTATAAATGAACACTTCAAATTAAATTAGGAAGGATGTAAACTTAATTTGTTGTTCATTTGTGGTGACTAAGCTAACCATCGCCGAGTGTTAACAAGGTTGTCATCCAACCCTTAGTAAAAATAATCTTTCCCAGAATTATGAAGTTGACCTATTACAGAAGGCTGCTGCTTGCATGAACGTGACTGTGGATAATGCGAGCGCTCTGTAAACACCATGCCAGTAGAAAAAGTTGTTGGCCTTAATGTGACCGTGGATTTTGACGACTCTACTGATGATGAGTCTGCGCCAAGGAAAGCTATCTCACTTCAGACACCATATGTTGCAAAACGTGTTGGTAATTACCAAGACAATGTATAAGATGGCTTGAGTCGCAATAACATATATTTACATGCTTTTATTTATAGAAAAATTGTGAAAAATGTAAATGACACACACGTCCAGTCCAAAATTAGAAAGGTATCTTAAAATTATTAAACACAATAAATCAAAGAAGCCATCATATGCTACTATTTTTAACAATTAAAGCCCTAACAATGACTTTTTAATGTATAAGAAATGATTGTCACCCATGCCCATGCATTACAAGGTATGGTCCAATTCGCAGCACCTGTATTGATTAATTGAGTTTTTTCCCTTATTGAAAATAATATATTGAGTGATTATTTTACAGATGTCCAGCAAGAATTCAACTGTCAGGTAATTGCAGTGCGTGACCGTGTTTTTGAATGTGTTGTCCTGAGTGTGCCTTTTACCATGTGGCTTATGCAAATAGTGAAGACGTCGTATATTGGGAATGGATTTTGTATCGAAATAAAAAGAAAAATGTGTCTGAGGTCAAAGGTGGTTGTGTTCTTGAAAAACATTTATATAAAAATATGTATTACATTTTATAGATTGCGCAAATTATCATATCATGATTGAAAAACCGCAAGGATTCTATGCTCTGGTCTTCCAAAAACCCTCCTACCATAGATCTGCTGGATGCCTCGCAGGTCGTCATCTGGCAGTTGGAAATTCTCCGTCTCCATCCACTGGTAAAAGGGAGCCATGATGGCAAGTGGGTTGTTGGAGTGCTCTAAACCAAGGGCGTGGCCCAGCTCATGGACTGCAACCAGGAAGAGGTCGTTACCTGATGAGGCAAAGACATGAGGTAAGGGAAAATAAAAATATTTATAATATATTTAATTTTGATTAAAGATATTAAAAATAATACTTGAGTAAATGTTCTTAGTTACATTCCACCCCAGCTGAAGGCCACAGTCAGCAGATATTCCCTATAAATCCATGCAGTCAATGGATAACAATGGCTGTCCATTGTTCTCTCCCAGTTATGATGTCAAAGAACATCTCAGTGGATCTGGCATATCATTCACACAAAAAGGAATGCAAATGATTGCTGCTATGAAGCAACATACATTTCCAACATTTCTAACCAATCAAGAGATGTCATTGTCCACCGCCACACAGCGGTGACACACTGACCCCTGCATCAACTTCCTCTCTACATGAAGGTCTTCTTACAGACTTTCTTTTTTGAGAAAAGTAAAACCACAGTTAAAAATTCACCAAATATAAGTTGACCTCTAAAGTGAATCCAAACCTATTTAGGTGCTTCCCCTGTGTGAATACCATTGTGTTTCCTGTGCATGATCTTTGTGAACGTTACATTTGCTAGCCATTTTGTCTCGTGTGATGCTGATTGGTCGGATTTGTGCTAGTTACGTCATGCCGTTAGGGGGGGGATTGGGACCCGTGGAAGTCACTGCTGTGTGTCATGCAAGGGAATGGGAGATGCTCTGAATGCCCGTCCTTGAGCTTCCCCTCATACACACACACAAAGGAGGATACACATAGTTCATCTCCCCTACGATCTATAATTTCAGAGTCACATGAATGTGCTCATGGTGGACTAAGGCTGCAGCTCACAGCAGAGGGCAACACAGAGTGCTAGAGATAGCTGAGGGGATAAAGAGGCCTTTGTGTGGTAACTGTGACAACTGTTCAAAACTTCAAAGTCTTGGCAAAGTTAGAAGTTCAGCCAATGGGACTACTGCTATTTCTGACTACCTTGTACACTAAAACAGACATTTTGTCATCCTTATTTCAACTCTGAAGCGTTGTTCACTTGTTCCTATGAAGGACATTAAAGCAGACCCCTGACAACCAAAGTGCACTCCTTTGTGCCAGTGACTTTCTCACATTAGTCTCATCTGACCGCACAGAAAAACACAAGCTCCTGGGCTTTTATCGCTACGGGCCTGCAGTGTTGTTTCCGTGCAAGGTGGCTTTGAGTGTGTGTGTCAGCAAGTCACAGCGAGCAGCTGATTAATCACACCGTGAATCATAAGGTTCACTCCGAAAATGTTCGTCCTAAAAGCATTGTTCTTCACTAACCCGTGAAACTGAGGTCAAGGATAGGGAAACCCCGTAACTGCAAAGAGTGGACTGAATGGGTTTCAGGCTTTTACAGTCAATCTGTCGCATACATTTTTTATGTGGAACTATTGATCCCTAATCTAAAGTGTGCTTCTGTTTGACCCCACCCAAAAGGAGGTCAGAGGTCAAAGCTGATTCTGTTTCAAGGACACTTGAGCAGAGCTGATATATAAGGCTTTAACATGGCTCTGCAACTCTCACTATATATTAAAGAAGACATACAGTATCTGAGCACTCGTTTTCACCCTCTGTCTGAAACCAGAGCCCGTCTGCTCTGATTGGTTAGCTGGCCGGCTCTGTTGTGATTGGTTAACCGTTTAAGGATGTCACGTACAATGTGTTGGAGAGCTAGCCAATAGAAGAGTGAGTGTTAGATAGTGATGTCACTATGTTACAGAAGTAAACAAAGGAGTCCAATGGAGTCGTTTGAGGTGGTGGGGGAGGTGGGAGAGAAACTCCCTCTGGAGGGAAAACAGGGAGTTTGGCCTTTACAGATCATTCACGTGGAAAACCCTGAAAAGCATAATAGGGCCTCTTTAAGAAAATCTATACCAAACAAGGATTTTTGATGAAGTCTGCAGAACATCGTTTGTAGACTGCTGCTTTTCTGCAGTAACACAGTACTTTATTCAGATATTTTCACATATGTCGCCTTAATTTGCCAAATGTTGCACGATTTGGATATTGTACATTTCCATTTTGTGATTTCTCTAGCGAGAAACGTATATACTGCCTTAAATAATTAACTGAATGAATTGTCGCTATGTCAGCTCTCAATGTTGACTCTCTTGACTGTATTGTACAATATCTCTCCAGCAGCCAATTGCTGGATCAATCTGCATGAGTTATGCTGGAAGGTAATCTGAAAATTCAAATGTAACAAAGAGTAAGGTCTGTTTCAGCAACAGTGCGATTTGTAGGAAGTAAACATGCTGAAGTTGAAAGAAGATTGCATCTGCAAAAAGTTTGACTCATTAGACATGTGTCCAACTGAAGTCAGACAAGATTGTAATTTGGTTGTACACTGCTGTTGAGCTGTGTCAGTAGCGTGGTGTAACAAAGGGACCAGTCCTTCCAAGTGGAACACACTCCCACTTACTGTGGCATTCCACTGTCCCTGTGATCTGTCCAGCTACACATCCCACACACAGCTGATCACACAGATACACACACACAACGTTTAGCAGTCTGCTGTGTCTGTGGATAACAGGGGAGGAAAGCCTATTTTCACTCAAATCCCTCTCTGGTGAGCAGGGTTAATGAGTGCACAGCAAGGAAACAGACTCTTCTAAAAGGTTCTTCAAAATTAATACATTTTCTTAATCCTCACTTTTGCAAAGAGTTGTGATTGGGTCAATTTAAGTTAAATGTATAGGTTAATCCATAGGTCAAGGCAATGATTTCAACAGCAATATTCCCGTAAGCACAAAAGTACAATTTATAATGTCTTAGTTGAGCCAACTCTAGTTATGTGTTTAGAACAGCTGTTTATTTTACAATCAGGGGAAGCTCGCTACTGTAATGAAAAAGGGTGCACTAGATTTCTAACACAACACAAAATGAGAGCATTGTAATTGTTTTATCTCTATTTTCTTATTATTATAAGCCAAAATTGTAATTGAAAATAAAATGTAATAAATCCACCAGCACTAAAACCCTTCAACATAACTATTGGGCTCCGAACAGCCCATCAGCTGAAATGATTAAGGGCCTAATAACCTGTATCCTCATTTCTACCAAAAAAAGAAGGTAATGACTCCCTCCTCACTCAATAAAAGGCTTCATAACACAGCAAGCCGTATGTGAGCAGCTGCACACAAAAAAAACACGTCCAACACACCAACTAACATTTTGCGGCAAAACATCCACCCAACTGAAGCATCAGACGGCGCTTCCTAAAAGCCTCTCCAAGACGTTTGTTGTAGAATAAGATTGTGTTCCTTGTTTATCTACATTTGGCCAAACAATAGAAATGATACTGACAGTAAGCGTTTACCTTGTACGTTATGGTTTCCTATGGTCCATGGTTCATCGGAGTCAAAGTGTGTGTCCCCGCCCATTCCAGGTCCAGGGAAGTAGGCATGAGCTAGGAAGCCTCCCTCCCCATCAAAAGGAGAGCTGTCTCCATGGAAACCCGAAGCGAAAAAGATCATAATGTCGGGCTCCTTGCGGCGTCCATATTTGATCTCCTGGTAGGGGATTTCGTCAAAGGTCAATGGGGTCACCTGCTGCCAGACTTTAAACGCCCGACGGATGGCTTCGTATGAGTTATACTCTCCAATCTTGGGAGTGTAGTTTTGGATACTGTGGTAAAAAGAGAGGAAGAGGGAAACATGTTTTACAAAAGTTTACCGGTTTAATTTTCTTTACAAACAGAAGGTTTTGATGTTACCTGTAAGTGAGGTGGCTCTTGTTCCATCTATGCCCCGTGAGGGCATAGCGTTTCCGCCGCACGTTGGTTTTGATCGGGCCTCCAAACTTGTCAGGCACACCACAGCGGGGTCTCCTCATGGCACTGAAGGAGCAAGCAACAAATGTGTGTCAGTGAATCAATGTGTTATTGTGCATTTATCATCACAGCACGAACAGTGACATTTAGACTAAATCAAGCAAGGCACCAATCAAAACTCTTATCACCCGCTAAGCTACTTCTAACCGGTAAACACATCGGGTCAAGTTTGTCTCCTATTTCAATAAACACACACCCTTTCCTTTCCTAACATCTATCCATTCCCCGTCCACAGCCCTACATCCCTCCATTCTTTCTCCCATTCATCCCTTCCTCCCCACATCTCTGCAACACTTAATTCTTCCTTAAAGCCCTTCATCTTCATTCCTTCCATCCTTCTGCTATTAATAATGTCTTGCCAACATCCCTTCATCCCTACATCCCTTCGTCCCACATCCCTTCCCTCCCTACATCCCTCTATCCCTTCCTCTCTTCCTCCATTCACCCTTTCACCTCCTAAATGACTTCATCCCTCATTCTTTAGTCCACTCTTTCACACCATCCCTTCATTCCCTACTGCTGTCTTTTTCCTTATTTTATGTTTTTCTATTTAACCTGGTATAATCATACTTTTTGTCTCAATCCAGGGATCGTCTGGGGGCTTGTACCCCCCACCCTGAGTCTCCCTCTGCCTGGACTTCAGTTTGTCCTCCAGACTAGCCCTATAGATGAAATCACTTGTCCTTCTTCACCTCTTTCTACTTACATGACATTTCTCTAAGTCTTTAACACGCTGTTGAGACGTGGTCGTTGCTTTAAGGGACTGGTCCATATTATGTTGAGAGTTGGTGTGAGTCTTAACATACAAAAAACATTCCAGTTAATCCAGGCCAACCTGACTGTTTGTTGGTCCATCTGTCCAGTGACCTGCAGGCTGTAGAAGCGCTGCATGTCGCTGATCGCATTGGACAGGATCTGAGCCGATCGCATGGTGGACATCTGTCTGCTGGCCTGGGGCAGGTAACCGTACATCTTCAGCCATGACTGGAGACAGGAAGAAAAACACATAAGGAGACTTTTAGAAATATCATTTTGGTTGGCTGCAATGCACAGGCAGTGGCCATCATCAATAATTAAATTGCCAAAAGCTTACGCGACACAGACATGACACTATCTCAGAAAATAAACTTTCATCATTATGAACACGGATTGTTTTATGAGCATTTGGGTGATCTATGTCAGGATTTTGAATTGCTTTTTATGGAAGCCCATTTCTGCCAAAGGGATGGAGAAAATAATGACACATTTAACCTAAAATAATGTATTTTGTTCTTTAAAACGAGAAGCTTTCATAAATAATGAGTAGATAAGAAATTGTGTTAAAATAATTACCTTGAATCTCAAAATAATGACTTTCATATCTCGAAAAAATTAGAAGCTTTCATACGTCATCATTTAAAAATAAGTTTTTCTGTAATTTGACATACTACGTTATTATTTGTATAACGTTTCTAACTATAATCTCTTACATTAACCTTTTGTTTAATCACAGGGCAAAGAGTTTTTTTTATCGTTTTCTTATCTGTATTTTTTTACTGGCAGAAATATCCTTCCATAGTCAGGCACAGCAGATACCACAGCTTTTGTAACCTGATGATATGACAGAGATTTAACTTGGTACTCAGAAGGCAGGCAGGACATTAGTCTCAGAGCTGAATGTGAGCACTGTGAGCCCAACCTCATCTGGTTCTCTGAGAGCATGTAAGTGGGGGGTGGGTGTTAATGACAGACTTGATGGAGAAAACGTGATATTTGAGCCAATCACAGATGACGCTAAGTCTATCCCACCTGTTAAGAAGAAACCTAATATCACACGCACTCACACACGGGCAACCACTTGCATACTGGGTAGTCTGGGATACTAGATACGCCCACACATGGACACCCTATCCATGGTGGTGCAGGGAATGTAAAAGGGAGTGTCTGAGTGCACACATAAAGGGGTATCTGTGTGTGCATTTGTCAAATATACGCCCATCTTAGACAATGAAAAATACTGCTTGAGTATCTGTGTTTACTTATCCACTCCTTAAAAACACCAACAATCTTTCAGCCTTTCTCCCTCTTACACATATACTCGGCGCACATCTTATAAAAACTGTAAATAATAAGAGCTCTAGTCATGTAGAAGTGCCACCCACCAAATGTCTTAGTGTAGGAGGTACCCCCCCTAGACGATAACTTTTATTTGCTGTACAGTAAGTGTGTCCTGAACAAACAAAATGTCCCTACAGTCCAACCAATCCCTGGAAGTGTCATCTAATGTCTACACAGCTACAATATGACTATGTTATAAAGGCAAAGCTGTGGAACTGTGCTCTTCTTTAAAAACACACATTGAAAAGAGGAGTTGAAATGATCATCGCAGAGCTACTGACGTTTAAAACACCAGCTTTTAATCACTAAATGAGCCGGTTGTTTCTGTAAAAGATGCACTCAGTTTCCCTTAACATGCGGCTTAAAATGTCTAGGCATTCACACAACTGTAGTAAACACAGGTAACTCACAGACACACTGGCCAACAGGAGCTCAAGGGAGGTAAACAAATAGTGTTTGAGTCCTCATGCTTTGGAGCTACTGGCCAAAGGAGCTCAAAGCTTCCAAACCCTTTCCATATTTCGGTTATATCTCCAAACAATAAAGGCAGGCTTCTATGTGCTGAGCTTATATCTCCTCTTCAGGTTGATCCTCATCATTATTATTATTTGCATATGGTATTACCTTCTAGTATGCCATTATTAAACAATGCACAATCATAAACTAAACACTTGTTTTATTGAATACATGTTATGTCAACCTATACCCTTATTTATCATCACTGGGCATTCTTAAATGTTGTTATACTACTCGATATTTACGTAAATACTTCACTTTTGTCACTTTAGCTCCTGTACTACATAAATGTTTTTCTGTCCCTTTTCTATATTCTTTTGTCCAATAGTTATTATTGTAAATCTATTATTTTTAATACCTAACTACACTTCGTCAATCTTTTACATATCTCTTATTATTGAACATTGAGATGCACTTATGTACAATATTGTCAAGCATTTAAGTGTTACATCATTTTAATTGTTTATTATTTCCTTCGCATAAAGAAATGAGAAAAACTCTTTATGTATGCTATGTATGCATTATTCCCTCTGTTTCTCATCTTCAATGTTTCTCTTTCTTGCAGATGCAGATACAGCTCTGTGAATGAGTGTGTAGTAGGAGAGGGTAAACTGGATGTGACCCTGACCCACCTCTGCCTTTAGTTAAGGAAGCACACACACACACACACACACACACACACACACACACACACACACACACACACACACACACACACACACACACACACACACACACACACACACACACACACACACACACACACACACACACACACACACACACACACACACACACACACACACACACACACACACACACACACACACACACACACAAACACAAACTTCCTGAAACACTATCTTAATACTCTCTCACGAACAGGCACACAAGCTAGAAAACAGGTGGCAGGGTTCACAAAAAACCTCTGTTCATCGCACAAAACGTAATCATACATGTACCGCTACAGAATAGCTAAGACAACACAAACATCACAACAGTATACCAGGCTAACAATAACTCAACACAAAAAACTGGTTGATAAGCCCCGCCACTCCAGTTTCTGTTGTTATGCCCATGAAGTTTTCCATTCTTGCCCGGCATAAAATGCACGTAACAATGATAGCTGTGGCAGATTAACCATTCTGAACTTTAATTAATGTTTGACCACAGGTCATTCATTTCAGACAGAGGCGAACAGAGTTATTTCAATGTTATTTATGATAGTTTTGGTCTAACAAACATGGCCAAAAACAGGCTTCTTCTCTCATTTCTACCGTCACCTCACCAGCACTTGAATTGAAAAATAAAAATAAAATGTTTTAACTTGAAGCTCTTGGAGCGACAGCAAAAAAAGGCAGAGGGGTCAGAAAAAAGTTGCTGGTTGCGGTGGACCCATGTGCTCACTCCTCAGTGAAAACAACTAAAGTACACTGTCACTTAGAAATAGGCAGTATTTGGACACATGCCCTGGAATGGCAACGTGATGGACTCTGTATCTGGTTATATTTGCAATGCTAGGAGTGGACAATCACTGTAAAAGGGAGGGTTTCAGTCAATGGTCAAATAATGAAACCTTACCAAATAATGTAATCACAGCAGCTGTATGAAAATATAATGTAATAATAAAAAAAATGTTACAATTCCACTAGGATAGATTTAACAAACATGTCCCCAAAAGAAAGAAAATCTTTAAAGAGCTGATTAGTAATAAGCAGTAGGCTATTGATTGTAGATTCATGTCAGCTAATGTACTTCATATTTCATACTGCCTAAAGATAAAAACAAAGCACTCGCTGAAATGCACCCGCTAACGGTCATCCAACCAAAGCAGTTTCAAATTGTTATCGAGAGCTGCAGTCAGGACGTATTTTTGAAGGCCAACCCAGAAGTTAGCATTGCAACGGCTCCCTTGACAAAAAGCGATGTGTCTTTCCATTGGACTGGGAAAAATGACAGAATGTAAGGCCCCGGCCCCATGACGACGCATACAGCAAAACACATAGGATTAACGCATTCGCAAAAAAGCTTCCGTCCACACGCAATATTCACCTGATGGTGTCTGTCCACACGAGACAGCTCCGCTTAGCTCCAACCGCTGGAAAAAGCAGCAGTACATATGCAGGAGCCTGTACGTGGCGCTGTAACATCCTCCACAAAAGCAGCGAAGAAGCATGGTTGTCATGGTTGCCCTTCTGTTTGTTTTCCGCGGTGGGAGCCGAGGGAACCGGGCAGTTTTTCGCCAGTCAACGTGTGTTAAAGTTTAGATCTTCCGGACAAAATGATAAAAGTGCCAGTCAAAGGTCTTCTTTATTATTTATTGAGCTTTAAAACAAATGAATAACGAATCTATATAATACAATAATAAAATACACGGAGCCTCTCTTTTTCCCCCCTCTCTTCTGACAGCGTAAGTGCCTGTAAAAATAAACATATTTATAACTAGTGTAGGTAGTTTGAGAGGTAATTAAAATAGCTAAGGGTGATTATCTGACTTGAAGTGTGTGTTTTGCTCCGTTCACCGCTGCATCACAGCGGGAGGAGCTGCAGGTGATCAGAGCTGCGTGTCTCCGTCCTGTCAGATTAGACTTCACTCGCGTTTATGTCCATATCGAGAGAAAGTTAAATAATCTGAATTCAGTGTGCAGTTTACTTTGACGCGGGGGTGAGCAGCAGAGGTGGGGAGAGGCGGGGCTATTGCGTCATCATTATCAGAAAATGATCGTTTAGGGCGTACACACGGAGCCGTTGGACCCCCCAGAGCGTTGCGTATGCCGTTCTATCCACCTTGGGAGTGGGACCCGTTATCGTTTCCGCAGTTGTTTGCTGTCATATTCGGTCGTCCTCGTGTGGCCGAACGGTCTATATGACACTAAACAGTAACGCAAACGACCGTTTTCGTCCTCGTGTGGCCGGGCTCGTAAGTATTTAGTGTCATATAGACCGTTCGGCCACACGAGGACGACCGAATATGACANGTGGGTAAATGTGATGGATTCGATTTGTTCATCTTGGTGTGTGAATTCCACACCTTCACACGACGGTGTTGCCTTCTGTGATGCGCGGCTGATGGACGTTACGTCATTCATCACCTAACTCGTCAAGACGAGTTAACTTTTTTATTTTGTTTCATCAAATTTTGTGTGGAAAAATGCGGGATTATGGCGGCCTTTTGATAAATATGCGGACTTTTAAAAATCTGCGGCATTTTGCTGATTATGCGGGAAATTCTGCGACGCAGAACTCGCGTTTTCTGGGAGGGTCTAAGTAATGAGTGAGCCCGACAGTAAAAACAATAAAACATATTTATAAACTAGTTAGGTAGTTTGAGAGGTTATTAAATATTAGCTTAAGGGTGATGATCTGACTTG